CGGGAGGCAGCGCCTGAGGAGCTCGCAGCGGGGCCGATTTGACTTGCCAGCCATCGCCTCCGCGGGTTACCTGCCCGGCCCAGGTGGGGCGATGCGGAGCGGAGGAGGTTGCTTTGGAGGTTGCCGCCGCTTCTGATGGATGTTTTGTGTGTGTTTATCTCCTCTCCCGGTTTCTCTTTCATCTGAGGACGCGACTGGCTCAAGCTCTGTTAAACTATCTGCCTTCTGGTACTGCTTGTAGATAACAGAAACCTGAGCCCGAAAGGCAATTCCCCACCTTCCTCCACCTAACATAACCTTTTCAGGCGTCTTTGAAGGTTTGCTGGTGCTCCGGCGATGATGGCAGTGGTGGGTTCCCTTGGGCTGTACTAAGAGCCTCTTGTTTTCTTTTCCCTTTCTTCTTAGAGGCATTTCATCTTTAAGGGACGGCTGCTTGCGCACACTTTTATACCCACTGAAGTGATCAAGAAACCATGTTGTCTGGTGGAAGGAGTGCGTTTTTGTGCCTTGGGATCATCTTGAGCTTTTGGAGCTCTGCGAGTTGGATGCCTGTTGGAGGATGTCCGCATAAATGTACATGTATTGCTTCCAACGTGGATTGTCATGGACTAGGACTCAAAACTGTACCGAGGGATATTCCCAGGAATGCAGAGAGACTGTAAGTAAAAACCGTTAAGGGCTCTTGAAGTACTTGTAGAAGCACCTGGAATGAGTTTCTCAGCACCTGTCTATCAGTGCAGAGTACATACTAACAGCAGTTTCAGTAATCAAACACGGATTAATGTTTTCAGGAGGGAAGGGGAGGAGCTTTTCAGAAGTTAGAGCAGTTCTGCTGCTGTTCTTGCTTTTTAAAAAACACAGTCCATTTCAGAGTTTTTTTGTTTTTTTTTTAAATCAGTTTCAGTTAGCATCTGATTGGGTTTTGCAGTGCCCTGCTTGTATTGGAATTTAGAGTTTTACCTGGAGTGCTTCCAGTAATAATCTTTGTCAATGCAAACACCAATCCAATATGCAATCAGAAACCTAGAAGTTTTCACCTGGTGGCTTGTAGCAGTTTCTCCTTGTTTTCTCAGTCTGGTGACTTCATCACCATGGAAAAATCAACTGTGGCCATAAACTATTTCAAATGGATAAGAAATCACATTAAAGCAGCCTCAGATTTGTCTTAAACTGTTATGGGAAAGCTGGTTATTTTTAATTTACTTAAGAGTTTGATAGCAGTGTAATATTGTAGTGTGCTTCAAGCCTCCTAATAATGAATGTATATTCATAGTAAATCCTCTGTAACATAAGCTCCTATGAATTGTTTAGTTGGCTCTCTTCACTTCCCTAAGTTTCAAAGGAGAAAGCTGAAAGCCAACTTGAGTTCTCTGATAACAGCTCTGGCACTGGGTGCAGAGGGCGGCATCTCTGACGTTGCTTAATGCAGAGCACATGGCACATCTTAGAGTGCCCGCTGCTAGGTAGGAAGATGTCCAGACTGGAATGTTAAACAGAGTTTCAGCGTGGTTCTGCGCTGGGCTGTACAGCTGACCTCAGGAAAGTGCAGTTTGTTGTGCCTTATGTTGATTAGCTGATGTCTTAAAACGTTTTTGAACTTGTAAGTGAATGTTGCAGCTTCTATGGCCTGAGTTCCTATTTTATTTCCTTATGGGTCGTAGAGTTGTGGAAATCTCAAACTCCCAAGCTATTTTTCCTCCAAGAAAGAAAGCCAGATGAGGTTACTAAGAAAACAGAGTCCTTTTAAAGGTTAAGTTCTGTCCCAGTATTAAATTTTATAGCATTGTTGAATGCTTCTAAATGCATTTAATGGTGCTGAGAGCTCTTAAATGATACCAAGTTAGAGATTTCTTACTAGACTACCATTTAAATGTTTTCTTACCTCATCAGTCTTCCTTTCAACTCTAGCTTTCTGAATAGTTTTCAGATGTCAGTGTCACAGAAAACTTAACTTCTGTGTTTGAGACTGTATTCTCAAAAATTGCTGGGTAGCAGCCAAACAGGTCAGACACAAGAAAACCCCAGCCCCAAAACAACGAAGTCCACAACAAACCACTACTGAAGTAGCATACCAAGCTGGTCAGAGTAAGTGTGTGTGATTACACAAATGTTTTGTATGTGTCATTGTTGAGGTGTGTTTGCATGGTTTAAGGGTGAAAGGCTAGAATTACACTTGTAAATTTCAGGTTAAAATTATTCACAAATGAAGGTTAGTTGGCTACCTGCTAAGAATTTAAATATGGTTATTTGTTATTCCTGAAGTTTTAGGGTGAATTAATTAATTTTGGGTTGAATTTGTAAAAATGTATTTAATAGTGAAGTTAACTTCCCTTGCTTTCTATAAGAAACCAAGCCCAAAGAGTAAGATTCTTAATCATGTTATGAAGAATGAGAGTGTAATCACTGTGCTCTTGGTGCTGATAAATTTGGTGTTATTTACAGATAAAAATTTTAGATAAATGGCTGCATGAAGAAAATAATAGCTGTTCCGCAGTATTTAGTTTGAATATTCAACCTTAGGGATATACTTCTCATAAATAGGAAATGGAGCTGTGTTGGATGTTTGTTTTGTTTTGTTTTTAAATAGTGTATTATTGGAACATTCAGTGGCTGAAACTTTGTGGAGAAAGCCTAGGGAGGATTGGGTAATAACACTGTATCCACATTTTTAAATACTGTCCTTACTTTTTATTGTTAGTCCATCTTGAGCCTTTGACTGTTTTTATAGTGGTGCTGTCAGTGTATATCAATTACTTGTATAAATTCTTCCAAATTTAGATTTCTACTGATTGCACTAAGTTGCATTTTCAAATGTAAACAGTAGAGAGAAGAAGACATAATTATATTCCCATGAGTCTAAATTCTGCTTGTAGGTGAAACATCAGTCAGCCACAAGGTATATTGGAGTATCTCATTTTTCTCTGTGGTTCATGGCAACCTGTAACTATTTATGACATAGCACTGGGTTGATGTGTAGTCTTTAACTGGCTTAGGTTGTAAATAAAACCAAATTTATTACATCTGAAATAAGAGATTTTTAACTTCAGATAAATATGTTGGGAAAATAATTTTAACAAGTTTCTTGATGGCTGCACACCGAGTGACTCATACTTGTATGCTATGGCAAGGTCTTCTTTCTACATTCTAAACATTTCTAAAAATTTCATACACGTGTTCAATTTTGAAACTGTGCTTTAATAAGAGATCTAATGGCACAAATATTTTGCCGTTAAGCTTTTAGTCTTACGTTTGTACAAAAATTACAGAATATTTGGGCTAGTGGAGTGAAGTTAAATATTACTTAAATTTGTGTTAATATGAAAGCCAAGAAAACATGAAAATATAAGATTAAGGAAACAATGGGAAATCTCTTCAGGAGGAAAAAAACTGTCCTATTGAGAAATTTCATTTAATGAAGTAGTGGTCATATCTTGATACCCAAAAAAAGGGCATCACCTGAACTTTGGTTACTGATTCTTCATTATTTTTTTTCTTACATTTATCTTTTTTGTTTTGAGACTTTGAAGAGATATATATATATGTATATTTTAGAGAGAGTTGTACCTGTGATTTTTGTCTTGTGGAGAATCCCCAGATTAACCCATGACCACAAACTTTTTTTTTTCAGACTCTTGTCTAATAGTAGCTTTACAAGTATAGCAAGCACTATTAGTTTTGTGTTAGGTTTACCTTGTTATTACATTCTATGATAGTCTTCTAATTGTGTGGTATAGATTGAAGGTTTTGCTCAGGTTTTGTGAAGAGCTAAAAAGAGGTGAATGTTGTATACTATTGCAGTAAGAAATAACCCTGTCTGAAGAGAATTAGTTGTGAAACCAATATTTGTCACTTGCAAGGTAGTAACTTCCATTTACCTTTGTTTTAGAGAACCCCTGGAATAACCCTCATGTCATACAGGAGGAGAGAGACATGAGATTAGGTCAAAGACTTTTTCCCAAATTGCAAGGTGTGATGCCACATGTACATCCTTGTACATGAGCAGGATGATGTCAGCTGACCTTGTGGCTTGTTGTTTTTTAGTGATCCATTTCACATTTGTTAAGTTAGCCTCCTATTAAAAAACAAAACAAAACAAAACACCAAAAAAACCCAAATCCACTAACAACTTCATAGGTTTTTTGTGTTGTGGAGAAAACTAATAATTAGTTAACTTATGGCTAGTTTATCTTTCTGACAAGTTTAGTACTGCTTCATCCAGTTCCTTTACTTAGAGTTTGCTTAGCAGTGCTTCAGTTCTTAGACTTGATTCTCTGCCCTGTTCTTCAGTGGAAATGTTTTATATCTATGTACAAATATGCTGTGTGTGGCTTTTTATAGCAGTTAATAATGGTGATAGTCAAGTCCAGTTTGATATGATGTGTAAAAACAGTGACCAGATCAAAGCCCTGTGTTTGACAGCTGTATTCTTCAACTCTGAGAGGAAAAAAGTGATATGGAGGAAGTGCTCAGAAGTCTTCTGGGTCAATATCTGCTTTCTGTTTGAATATGAAGCATGAGCCTTTGTGTTTTTCCTTTTATTCATGTCTAGTTCTCTTCCTGTCTATTTACAGCCCATTAGAGGTATATGAACATTTCTTTGGATAATTAGCCATGTTTGAGTTTCTGATTAATTTATACTTAGTGGCTTAGAATCTTGTTTAATTGATAGCTTTCCTGTGTTAATGACTGTTTTGTTTTGTCTTTTCCTTTGAAGGATTCTTTACCTTGCCAAATTGATAAAGCTTGCAAGACTAATCTGTTCTGTGCTTTGAGGAGCTAAATTGAGTGTGTCCACATTTAGGTGCAATTTAGCAGCTTAGTCATCTGCTTACTCTAGAGTTTTCATGTGGTCTGGGGTTTCTGTTATACAAATATATTATTATGGTGTTTTTGGCCTAGGTGCATGTAGCTGCTGAAGTTGCACTGATTTGTAATAAGTCTTCAACTTCCTCAGTTTAGTCTTCAAATTAAATCTAAGCTCCTGTGTTGAATGCTTCCATATTACTGCAGGATGCAATGTTAAACACATGCAAATGTAATTATACTGACTCTTACATGGACATTGTTTTTCTAGAATTCTTCCTGCTAGGGATTGCCACTCATTTGTTTGTTTAGTAGTAGTCTTCAAAACCTTGCATGGAGCCTTTTTATTTTCCTTCCTAGATCATGTTGTCAGTAGACACATGTAGACCTACACAGCTTTGGCTTCAAAGAGCTTCCCCTCAGAGGGCCTGATCCTGGGAAAACTTGAGTTGCTTAATTTTGATCCTTCCCTTTACTAGCATAATGCTGATTGTTTGTGCTGGGCAGGACACTGACGCATAGTTGCATACGGTCAGAGTTTGGAGCCATTACATTTGCTACTTTGTTATGGAGTGCTGGTAACATGGAAGATAAAATTAGCTTGTAATTTGGTAGCTACAGAAGCAAATAGTGGCCCTTGTCATGTTGTCAGTATTTATTTCACAGATGTGGATAAGATTCTGAGATAAAAGGAACCAGACTACCTAGTTCAGAAATTTTTTATAAGTTACTCTGAGACTATTCACTTTTTTCTGTGTTTTAACTTTTGCAGCTGGCCACTGCTGACCAATTTGGTGAAAGAAGAGTTACCCCTCTACCCATCTAGAGAGCAGTTGTTGTCTTTTAGGAAGTCCT